GAGAGAGAGAGAGGGCGGGGGAGAGGGAGACAGGGAGAGAGAGTGTGTGTGTAAGGGGCAGGGAATCTCACAGGTAAAGAAATGACATGCTTTTACAAATTAATAGAAGGAATTATTTTTCCACAAAAATTGTAAAATATTCTCTATTTCAAAAAAATGAGGAAAAAATGTCTTTAAACTATGTCAAAAGTTTGCCATCCCAAAAAAAGGTCTTCCTTCCTGAACAGGGATACCTGCAGATAGATACCTGAACAGGAAAAATGATCTGACTAAACCAGTAAGTCAGGCAATTTGGAGGTTTTCAGCCTTGCTACCCTTCCAGGATTTTTTTCTCCTTTTTAGTACTCAACATAACTTTGATGGTCTATATAAAACTAGAACAAATCTGAATATAAAAGTCTAACAAAAGCTAATTTTCTTTAATAATAAACTAAATATAAGAAAAACTATTTTAATACTTTTAGTACTTTAAAGCTACCTCTCTCTTTTTATTTTTTTTAATTCTTTTGAGATAGGATCTCACTTGATCACCCAGGCTAGTGTGCAGTGGAATGATCACAGCTCACTGCAGCCTCCAAATCTTGGGCTCGAGTGATGTTCCCACCTCACCTCCAGGGTAGCTAGGACTACAGGCTCTGCACCACCATACCCAGCTTGAGTCTCTTCTTAAGCTAAACATTTCTATTTTATAAGCACTAATTTAAAGTGAGTAGGAGCTCCCATTTAATTACAAACTTTAATAGTTACCCAGAAAAAGAAATAGTCTTTAAAATTATGTTGATAACAACTGTTTTAATTTACTACTCAGAAGGAAAGCCTGGTAGGTTATTTGGGTAATGGCTATAATTAGGTAGTATAACTTGGTACACATGAATCAACTGGGACCCGATACAATCTAAAACAGAAATTCAAATATTGTTTCCCTCAATAAAAAGGGCTGAGGAAGTCCCCCAAAATGTAGAGACATTTCAAGTCTACTTCGACACACACCTGGACCTGTGAAGCATTCATTTAATTCTAAAAGAAAAGGCATACTGCTCAGAAAAGGGGCAGAGATTTCCCAGACATCTTGCTTATTAAAACGGTTCAGATAAACCACACTTTCAGCTAGATGTACACTGGACAGCAATGTTTTAACAAGTCTAAAACACCATACAGATTTTAAAATACTATGATAACAACTCAGTCATCATTGCAAAAGGCATTCAACATGAATAAAATGTTTGAGGAAATTGACGTTTACCTCTTTGAATACCAAAGCTTTTTAAAAAGTTTTAATCAATTCAAGATAAAACTTTTAAAACATGTACCACATATCTGTGTATGCAATTTCACCTTCATTACCTTGATTACCTAGAGGCACAGTAAAGACCAATCATCAGATGATGTAGTATAGTGATGTCCTCTAGGCTGGCTAGTGGTTCTTACACTAATGGCCTTGGACAGTGTATGCTCCTCAGAGTTTTTTTTCCCAGTTGCCTTCCTTGCAAGCCATCCCTTCTAAACTGCTAATATGCTACAGTCTGGACAAGCAAATAATCAAGTTTATTAAAATCTCTCATAAAAACAAATGCATAAGCTCTAACACACAGACTCTGTGATTTATATGGGTTGCTCAGAGGCATTCTTAAAAAAACTACTCCAAGTTTCTGAGTTGCATACTAAACTTAGTATCTTTGCCTTTTTAAACAAAGTATCCCATAACTTCAAGGTAACACTGAGTTCCAGTTTCTTTCCCCTAAAAAACAAACATAAACAAATATCCTAGATATAATATCGTTTGCCCAAAAAAAGAAGAAAACTGAGGTGCAATAATGTCACAGTTAATGCATGTCTACTTCCAATACATTCAAAGACAATATTGTTTTTTAAAAAATCAATAGTTAAAATAGGCCTTTTGCAGTCTGAGAATTAAAGATACTTAGAAAAATTTGTAAATACACATACATGCAAATTCTTCATATATACAAATTTCACAAAATTAATAAGCTGCAAAGAAATTAGAAGGATTATGGATAATCTGACAAGCTACATTTAAATGCTTTACCACTGACATATTCCTGAATGTAGCAGTCATAGTTTTAATAAATTTTCTACATGGCCTTTTTATAAAAAGTCACTAAGAAGTCTTTTAAGAATTCAAGATGTTCTCAATTCACTACTCATATTTAAGGCCACTTTGGTAAAGGCATTGCAGCAAGAACACAAAAACAATAGCATATTTTATAATATTTATTTTTTTCACCTGCAAACTGTAGCAAAACATGATCAGCTTTATTACGCAGACAGGTATCCCTCTACATTTTAAAAGAATTTAGGCATGTATAAATAGAAGAGCTCTTTAGAAAGGAAAAATTCAAGAATGAATAAAACCTTCCAATTTTGACTCTGTAACTTTCCAGTAGCAATGGTTAAAATGATTTTAGGTCATTCATTCCAAGATATATGACAGCACCTTAAAAAGTGGCTGATCTATTTCCCCAGTAACATTTCTCACATAACAATGTGTTAAAGTTACAAATACTGATATGCACAAATAGCTAATTTCTAAGAAAAATATGTACAGTACTGCAGCATAATGAATGTGGTATCTGCAATAACTTAATATTAGCCAATTTTAATATACATGATACCGCTACCCTTTTCTGCCAATTCACAGGTTAAAAGGTGTTACTGGAGCCCTCGGTTTTGCACATATCACCTGGTGTTTAATACACAATGCAGGCTTTTTAAAGACTTCTCTTGTGTTTAAAGCTAAGATCAGTGAAACAAGACAACAGTGCAAGAGGTGGAGAGATGTAATGTAACCACATAAAAGTTCGTTCCAGTAAATTGTCTATATAAGGCTATAAGAAAGGATTGGTTGATGAGCTTCCTGTTGGAAATTGTCCTGTTGGTGCACCAGTCTAAAGGAAAACATAAGACAAACAAAGAGATAAAAGTGGTACAGGTACAGAATATAAAAACATTACACTAAATTTAATTTTATTTAATTAGACATTTTGGTTAAGAATTTTTTTTAATTATTGGCAATAACGTTTATTTGTTATTGGCAATATGACAACTGGCAATATGCTATACAAAACTATTATGTGTCAGGAACTGTGCTATGTCTTTCATAACCATTATTTCACAGAGTTCTTGTAACAGATTCTAGGAAGAATATTAGAATGGTTTTAAAAAGCACTTAGAAAAGATTCAAACAAAACTTCTGACTCTTCCGTCTCTACTAAAAATACAAAAAATTAGCTGGGCATGGTGGCGCTTGCCTGTAATCCCAGCTACTCAGGAGGCTGAGGCAGGAGAATTGCCTGAACCCAGGAGGCGGAGACTGCGGTGAGCCGAGATCGCGCCATTGCACTCCAGCCTGGGTAACAAGAGCGAAACCCCGTCCCAAAGAAGAAAAACAAAAAACAAACAAAAAAAACCCTCTTTTTTATGTTCACCAATTCTTAGGGCCTCTGATAAAGTGTTATTTTGACAAGAAGGCAAATAAGTTTCATATTATAAAACAGCTGAACTACTGTCAATGTTTTAATTTGCAAGTAGTTTTTTTTAAAAGGTCAGAAAAGGATCACACATAATGGCTCCAAGTCAATTTGGACAATTTTATCATGTCACAGCAACAGGATACCAAATACCATCTAGGAATATTAACATCCTGAAATTCCTAATTTAAAAATATGATTTAACAACTTATAAAGTACTTTATTTTAAATTTTGCTTACCATAAAAGGATTACTAGATACTCCAGCAGCTGCAACTTGACCAAAAGGGGTTACCACTGGCTTTGTTTGTCCAAATGCTGCAAAACCTGCACCTTGTTAAAACAGAACCACCAATTATAAACTATATCTTTAAGAGACAATCTGATGCTTATAAAGCCTCGTAATAACTTTCAGAGAAATTCCTATCAGAGCAATAAAAATAAAGTATCAAAGTTAAGTTGTTAGTCCTCAAGCTCTTTCAGATACCAAAGAAAAACTGACAGTAGCATGTCTTAAAATAACTCTTTTTTGGAGGCAGGATCTCACTCTATTGCCCAGACTGGAGTCCAGTGGCATGATCATGGCTCACTGCAGCCTCAGCCTTCAGGGCTCAGGTGATCCTTCCACCTCAGTCTCCCGAGTAGCTGGAACTACAGCCACATGCCACCACACCCAGCTAATTTTTGTATTTTTTGTAGAGACAGGATTTCATTATGTTGCCCAGACTGGTCTCGATCTCTTGGGTTCAAGTGATCCACTTGCCTTGGCCTCCCAAAGTGCTGGGATTTCTGGCGTGAGCTACCACACCTGGCCAAGAGAACTTTCATTCAGCTCTTTCATTCCAACTTGTCTCAGTAAGTAAAAAATCATAGGATTTCATTACTAGATGAGCATGTGACTACTTGGGACAGGCCGTGCGTGCAGACAACGCAATGATTTCTATGTAAACATCACAATATTTTGTAGAAAATACTTTTATTATTTATGGCTCTTCCATGGTCTATATTTCAGATTTTTAAATAACTATTTACCTTAAAAAAAAATGTAGTTGTGATTCAAGAATCTTCAAATCTATACACTTCAAACTTGAGAAAATGACAGAAATAGGTAAAAAAGGTCAAGTGAATCTTCCCATCTCTTCCTAAAATCAAATAACAAACTCTAACTACAGTAGAGTTATCAAATTAGTAAAGTAGTCTCTTTCACACACACAAAGGTACACATTTTTGTGATGAAAGGAAAAAAAAAACATTTTAGGTCTGTGAAGTCTCCTTTAAAAATCAAGAGGCATATTAGAACATGTAAGACAAATTAATCAGAAAAAGGCTCTAGAAACTCTGAGAATGAAGAGACACTCTTCACATAGTCACTGATTTCCCATAAATTGTAACCTGCTCACAAAAGGTTACAAAATCACTTAGCTTTCTGAGGTCCAAATTACCAAAAGCTTTTATTTTTGTATAGTTAAATACTCAGTAGATAATACTATAGCATTCATTAGAAAAGTCTTTCTGCCCAAGCACACATTATGATATAAAAAGAATATATAAAATGAACTTATAGCTTGCCAAATGTTAGATCTTACCATTGGGCTGTTGAGAAAAAGCTGTCTGTTGAGGGAAAGCTGCTTGGGCTGGGAAGGCAGGCTGCTGGAAGCTGCCACTAAAGCTGGTAGGAAGACTGTAGGGAGCAGGAGTGCCAAATCCCGTGGGCATGCTCATGGATGCAGTGCCAAAGGTTGCCGCTGACAGGAGAAGAGAAGGGCTGATCAGTTACAACAGGACATGTTTAGTTTCTCACAACATTGTAAAAAAGACATCATTTACCTTGAAAAATACTAGGATGTACATTAAAGGCAATGTTAATTCCAAAATTCCAACAGTTACCAATGAGTTTTAGTGCTACACTGTTTTAACATCACCTGTAGAAATTTTGTTCTCCTAAAACCCAATGACCAGAATGAAACTACTAAAGCTGATATTTGAAATCCCAAGAAAATTTCTGAAATTATAAATTCAAGTCTAAACAGTAGTCTTTTTAAAGACTCATCATCATGCAATTCACACAATTCACATGTATACTAGTGAATGTATACTAGTATACATTTTTGTTTTTGGTTTTGTTTTGCTATATGTAGTAAAATAACAGCCAAAATTTAATCTACTGAAGTATCTGCCATAACGTAATATCTGCTCCTGGAAAAAAATTTAAAAACCACTGAAAAATAGTTCATTAAAAAGAATAGGACTTATAGGAAAAACAGGGTTAGTTAGAGGCAGACCACTCAGAACCTATGAAGCTTTGTAACTACAGCCAGAGAGAAACAGAGAGAAATTCGAAATTCTATTAACAACACTAACACAATTAAAGGACATGTTCCTATTAAATCAATTATATGGATATATATACACATATGGACTCCCATCCTCTTCTGGAAGGTAAATAAAGACAGCTTTGGAAGACTTAAGGAAGGTTAGGGCAGCTGAGCTATCGAAGTTAGTGGGAAATCCACAAAGATGCATTCTTACAAAGAATGTAGAATAAATGGCCATAGTGTTCAATGCTACTATGCTCTTCCTTGCCTTGTCATGTCTAGCTGGTTATTACTTCGTGGACAAGGTATTATTACCACATTGGGGGAAATGTGTGTTATCAACCGCTACATATGTGGAATGCTGCCATAATTTCCCTATTTACTAATCATTTAGGAACTAAAGTACATTACAGAAACACATGCAATAACAGGGCAGTATGTTATTTATTACTGGTGAATATTAAAAACAGAACCGCCACCTACATGTTCTAGGAAGGGTCTCAGTGAAATAACAGCCAATAATGTTGCTTTAAATATAGACTACTAGTAATTACATAATGAAATATTCTTAGCATGATGCAAAGTAACATGCTAATTCACTGAATTTACTGATTTTAACCAATTTACCAATGAGATCACTGATTTAATGCACAGAAATTAAACATTAAAAATGTTACACAGAATGTCTTTTATTTTTAAAAAGCTGAAAAACAAGTTATAGATGTTGCCCAACGTAATCCCTGGAGTCACAATGTTTATAACAATGCAATTTTGCTTGGTGAACCTAATTAGAATATCAAGAAAATTACTTTTTTATTATTGATGAGAAAAAAAGGAAAAACAGGCCATTGGGAAGCAAGTGAATTAAAGAATAATAAGCACACTGCAAGGGTAACGGGAAGGCTTCATAACAGACAACAATGCATTGACATAACTTTGACAAATCACTTTAAGAGAGCACTAAAAAGCAAACTTGGATACAGTTAAGCAAAACCAAGCTCCATGGAATAATGCAGTAAAATGATTTGCTATATCAAAAAGGCGACAAAGTATCATGAATTCAAACTCAAGAAAAAGAATCATAACGGCTATTAACACTCTAATGTGACCATGTAGGTAAGCAGTAATGCTTTTCAGCATTTACACATAAATCACTACAAAATATTTTCATGGAATTTTAAATACAATGTAATCTGAAAGCCACACATCCATGCCCACTCCATTTAAAACACGGGAAAAAATTAATTCCACATGCAGGGATCCAAAACACTAGCAGAAGCTTCCACAAGCAGGTAGACAAATTGCCACACAAATCTAGATATTAATTGTGGCCACCTACCAAAATGAGCGTGAGGAAACACTTGAGAATGCATTGCTCCAGAAAGGCCTTATGGAAAGCCATAAAGAGACCAATGTCAATTAACTTGTGGATAACTATTGTTAAAATAAAAGTAAATTTGTTTCATTAAAAGTTATAAAATTACAGCATACTGTTGTTAAGGGGGTAGCATAATACATAACGAAAGCACATTTACAAAATAAGCCTTTTAATTCATGACACTGTAATACTTATACTGTTCGAAATAAAGGGGAGATTACAATAATATATAACAAATTAAGAAACCGGTGAAATCAATTTTTTAAACAAATAAGCATCAACTTTTTAATAGTCATTAAAAAACGCTTTGTAGGCATCATAAGCTACATCTAAATATGCTATTCATAGAATCATCTGAAATTATCCAGCATCTACATTTGGGATTGAAACCAAGTCTTGGGAGACAGCGCATGAACAATGCTAGATTGTTTTATTTACAACTCAGCACATTAACTAGAAATACACAAATAACTCAAATGAACTAATTAAGTATTACAAGGGAAAGACTATTAAATATACTAGTTCATAAGAAAAGTAAACAGTGTTTTCAGGTTAAAATATAAAGGCTGAAAAGGTGAGAGAAAAGCAAAACGGATCTTGTATAGATCTTACTCACCTGGCATGTTTGAAGATAAACAGGTTACATATAAATTAATAGAAAGTAAACCTAGATTGTTAAATACTAGAACCTTTTTTAGTTTGTTTTAACAATCTGAAGTAAGACTGTCTCTAAAATATATTTCCACGCATTTAAAATTAGAATACTTTTAAAACTGGCATAAGAATGATTAAGAAATTGAATGGTTCTGAGTTGTGGTTCTGTCATTTTCTAGCTGCATAATGTTACTTTATTTTATAAGCTTCTGTTTCTTCATTTGCAAATGGGGTAGAGGACCAGAGATATTAGTATCTACACTTCAAGCTGCTGTGAAGAGCAAATGCAACAAGGAATTAAAGTGTTGGGCAGTAAATACTGAATGAATGTAACTTTCTTGCAAACTTAAAAAAGCATCACTATGTTCCAAATACAAAAAAAGGTTAATTGAGGGAGATGGGCCTGTGAAAAATAAATGTGACCCTTATAGTTATCTCCTTTCTTAAAGCACTTTACAGGCTCGGAGCAGTCCTGCATTAATGACATTGGTTAAACTGTGTTTATTCCAGTATTTCCCACATGTATTTAGACACAGAACTCTTTCCATAGAATTTTACTAACAACATTACAGGAGACATGTTTCACAAAATACACTGGCAAAAACTGACTTTCAGACAACAGTGACTGTTAGCCAATATTAATCAATATACCTTAGTCTGCAACAAGATGCCCCACAAGCTCTGGTCCTGAACTGCTATAAATCTTTTTTAGACTTTATAAAACTTTCGGAAATATAATTCACATACGACACACAATTCATTCACTTAAAGTAATAGAGTTCAATTTTTTAAAATATATTCTCAGGGTTGTACAACTATCATCACAATCTAATTTTAGAATATTTTCATCCCCCCTCAAAAGAAATATCATACCTATCAGCTGTCACTTCCCATACTGCCCACCACTACTAAAATCCCAGCCCCTGGCAATCATTCATCTACTTTTTCTTTCCATTTCCGGACACTTCATACAAATGGCACCACAAATGTGTGGCCTTTTGTGACCAGTTTCTTTCGCTCAGCAGAATGTTTTCAAGGTTCATCATGTTGTAACATGTACCGATGCTTCATCACTTTTTATTATCAAATGATTTGTCATTGTATAACTATTCAACATTTGGTTTCATCAGATGATGGACATTTGAGTTGTTTCTACTGTTTAGCAATGATAAATATTGATGCTATGAACATTTGTGTACAAATTTTTGTGCAGATGTATGTTTTCATTCCTCTTTGGTATGCTCCTAATAGTGGCACTGCTAAGTTACACGCTAACTCTGATGACCATTTTGAGGAACTGCCAAAATGTTTTCCAAGGGGCTGTGCCATTTTATATTCCCACAAGCAATATATGAGGTTTCTAATTTCTCTCCCTCCTCACATTGTTCATCGTTGTCTTTTCTTTCACTGACCATCTGTATCCCTTCTTGGAGAAATGTCTATTCAAATATTTTGTTCACTTTTTAATTGGGTTGTCTTTTTATTTACTTGTAAGAGTTCTTTATATATTCTGAATACAAGTCCCTTATTTTCTCCATTATCAAGTTTTCTGTTGTGTAAATTTTTACAACTTTCCTTTCTTTTTTTAATTACCAAATTGGTAATTTTCGCTTCTGGCACCTTTTTAAAATACCAACTGTAGAGTATTAAATATTAGAGATGTCCAACTATTAAGAGCAAACTGAGAATGAGAGACCACAGGGAGAGTAAATCACCAATGCTATAAACAAAATATGTCCTTCATAGCTCAAGGTAATTTTCTACTTAGGGTTTTTTCTTCGCTTTTCGTCAGCTACCTCCAACCCTTTTTTGTATTAATCCTCACTTTTGGAATATGCTAGGCAAGTGAGGTGAGCCTAATGAATATTTAGATACAAGGAATAGTACATAATGTTAATTTGTGAATGTTTCATCAATGTGAAACTAAAGTATAAATATGGAGGCAACTGTACTGGAACAAAAATAGTGTTGGTGCAGAAGTATTCTGGGTGTTAAAATCAGATCAGCCATTACTGAATTTCGAATCTTTAAGGCAAATTAATTAAATCTTAGCAAATCGATTTCCATCTAGGTAATAAAACAAAGATATGAGGGTTAGATGCCATCCAACAGGCTCTGCATTTCTGTAAGTTCCTTTCCTTGGGGAAAAAACATTTTTGAAACCATTCATTCATTAAACTGCTAGGAAATAATGACTATTCATTCAGTGACAAAGAAGAGATCTAAGAGTTATAAAAATTTACTACTATTCAAAAATTATTTTACCTCTATTAATTAGATTTAAGAGCTCTAGGGGAGAAAAAAGAATCCTAAATATCACAGAATCCTAAAATTAGGCCATAATAGGTAACATCCTAATGAGAGTTCATATGTAACATTACGGTTTTTAAAAAAGCTAAAGCCTCAAAGTTTTATAAATCCAGAAAAAATGATTATTCAAATGTTATTTTAAGAATGATCACGGTGCAGTGGCTCACACCTGTAATCCCAGCACTGTGCAAGGGCCGAGGCAGGCAGATCACTTGAGGCCAGGAGTTCAAGACCAGTCTAGCAAACATGGCAAAACTCCACCTCTACTAAAAATACAAAAATCAGCTGGGTGTGGTGGCACACACCTGTAATCCCAGCTACTCAGGAGGCAGAGGCATGAGAATCGCTAAAACCCGTGAGGTAGAGGTTGCTGTGAGCTAAGATTGCACCACTGCACTCCAGCCTGGGTGACAGAGTGATAATCTGTTAAAAAATATACAGTATATAGATACAGCTTTTCAAATTTCACATAAAACTATTATGCAATACCCCCCTCCTCAATTTTTTTTTTTTTTTTTTTGAGACAGAGTCTCACTCTGTCACCCAGGCTGGCATGCGGTGGCACAATTACATCTCACTGCAGCTTTAACTTCCTAGGCTCAGGTAATCCTCCCACCTCAGCCTCCTGAGTAGCTATGACTACAGGTGCCTGCTACCATGTATTTTTTGTACAAACAGGGTTTTGCCATGTTGCCCAGGGTGGTCTTGAACTTCTGGGCTTCAAGCAACCCACCTGCCTTGGCTTCCCAAAGTGCTAGGATCAAAGGTGCCTCAAAATATAATTTCACAGTGTTAATATATTAGTTTGTCTGTTTTTGAGACAGAGTCTCATTCTGTCTCCCAGGCTGGAGTGCAGTGGCACAATCTTAGCTCACTGCAAGTTCAAGCGATTCTCCTGCCTCAGTCTCCTGAGTAGCTGGGACTAGAGGCGTATGCCACCGCACCTAGCTAATTTTTGTATTTTTAGTAGAGACTGGGTCTCACCAGGTTGGCCGGCTGTTCTCAAACTCCGGGCCTCAGATGATCCACCTGCCTCAGCCTCCCAGACTGCTAGATTACAGGCATGAGGCACTGTGCTTGGCTAGTGTTAATATACTTAAAGGCAACAAAAAATTCTTAAATAATATTAATTTTGATGGTACAAAACACTAAAAATTCTTAAGCGTAGTGCATTTGTCAAAGTATTGTTTGTATTTCAGCTTCAATAGAAACATGCAGTTAATATTTAAGTGGTTTGGTCAATTCAATAATAATCTAATAAAGGTGATCAATTCAAAATGACTTATAATGGGAAAAATGTATTACCTTGAAATAAACATTTGCAGACACAGTAGTTTCACCTTTCTAATAATTTTTTGTTACTTAGTACTAAAATTATCTTATATCATCTGAACATGTTATTTTATAGCCTATGAAGAACTTCAACTTTTATAATACTTTCATACTCTAAGTAAAATAAGCAAAAAAAAAAAAAAAAAAAAAGCCCTTAACTCTAATGATAGAAACAACTCAGAGGTATAGTCATGAAAGAAAAATAATAGGTCTGATTTACTGAGCATATGCTGTAATGCAAGGACCATACAGGATAAATTTGCATCATCTAATTTCACAACAAACCTGCCAGCAAGAGAATATTGTTCACATCCTACAGAAAGGGACAACAGGAAGGCTCAGAAACGTTAGGTCAACATGATTAGGCTCAGTCAAGGCATAATTTGAGCTTCCATTCACCAGTTCTTAAATGAGGTTATAGTATCTATAAATAATAGCATCTTGTGAATAGATTTATCACAATAAATGTTTGAACATCCTCCTATCATTCTTACCCCATTCATTAAAAGAATAAAATTCAAAAGGCTTTCTTATGGTCAACCAACAACTAACTATAAATCAGAACTCAAACACAAGTTTGGCTGGCTGTTCTCAAAATACATCCAATTAACTTTTCTGGCCCTGTTCCCTCAGCTGTCACACAATTAAAATATTTGTTCTATGAGAGCTGAGTGGATTAAATGAGGCAATACACAAAAATCCACTGTATCATGAGACACTTTACAAACTCAGTCCCCTAAATCAAAACAGTATACTAAGAAACAGAAACACTGCACATCTCACACACCTGAAGAAATTCTATCAATAAAAATTTAAAACAATCATTCATCAGGTACACTTGAATTAAAACAAACCATTTTTAAAAAGATAAATTTTGTGTGAAATTCAAATATTTACCAAACATCTATTATGCTAGTTGCCAACAAAGGATAAGTGAAGACATTTATGTGAAAAGAAAATAGTTACGGTTCAAACTCCTAATATTGCGATTCTTAATCTTGTTAATGACAAAGAGATTTACTAAAAACTAGTAATTCTTAATGGTTTAATTTGATTACAATGTTACAAGTACCTAATCTCTCAAGATTTAATATCAACAGTTGCCATAACTGGAGTTTAGGCTTTAGTTCTAAATTATTGTGGCAAATACACAAAAACAAAGCATACAAACTCTGCATTTAATGAATACCCAGCCACACCACATGCACCTGCTGATATTCCAAGATGATGGCAAATATCTCTGGTGTTTAAGGTAATATGACAAAATCAGAGGTATAACATAAGAAAGATGTGACTGGTTTGCAGTATGAATTAAAGAGAAAAAACAGAGAAAATAAAGAGAAATTAAAGGGAAAAATTATCAACAGAAAAATATCCAGTATTAATACCCACAACTAAATCAAGTTCCCACAACTTAAAGAATGTTAACACATGAAAGAGAGATTCACTAGAAAAAGACATAATTATTAAGAATTCATGAAATAAAGTAATTTGATGCATCTCATAGGAAAATAAAAACTTTTCGTAAGATGCTTCCATTAAGACCGCATGAGTTAACACCAGTAATTCTGAAACCAGACCACTAAATAAGTCTCAATTGCTCTGTTCAAGTCCCATCTCTGTCATAAATTCTCTGTGGAGTCTCATCTCCATGTCTGGCCTTCCCTACCTGAAAAATGAAAGCTTTAACTGGAAAGGGTAGACACTAGATAATTTCTAAGGTCCCTCTCAACTGTTAAATTCCAGGATTTTATAAACTTTCAGCTAGAATTTATCTTTATGGAGAAATTCTTCTATCCATTTGCCATTCACTTCACTAAGAAAGAGGCCCCATTTTCTGATGTTCTTCACATGATGTCTTTGTTGATAAGTACCTTCCCCAAAGCTTACTGTTCGACTGACTGTCTCTTTTTCTTACCTGTTGCTCCTCTGGCATTGGTCTGAAACGGATTTGTAGAAGATGCCACAGAAGGACCAGCAGCAGCAACAAATGGATTTGTGGAAGGCGTAGCTTTAAAAAATTATAAAATACACTATAAAATCCTAATACATTTTGTATTGAAGGTTTAAATTATTTGTTCATTATATTTATCAAGATCAAAAACTCAAGGATTCTGATAACAAATCATTGCTTTGATTCCTAAGAAAATGCTACACAATAGATAGTTGGGTTCTTCATAAAAACCAGTGTATATACCGAAAGCACATACCTCCAAATGGAGCAGGCACACTTGATGAAGCAGGCTGTGTCTGTGCAGAAGCACCCACTGGTACTGTTCCAAAAACATTGCTGAGAACAAATATTGAAAGAGTTCATTTTTTTGTTTGTTTTTTTTTTTTAAAAGAAAACAAAAGAGAGAAAGTAAGGATAATCAATCTACAGGGTAGCCATAAAATAATGAACATATCATGTATCACAGCATCAATATCAACACAAAGAAAATTAAGACATATTTAAGTGTAATGATAAAATAAACTGCTACTGCTTCATTAAGAATAGTCATTTAAAAAATCAAAAATACAAGTAAAACTGTATGTGTAGTGGGGAGGAATAGGACTATTAGAATGACTAGTACAGTTTGGTGCCACTATCTCAATTAATATTCATGTTAAGACTCCAGCAAGTTTTACCGGCCATTGTTTTTGCACCATCAATACAAATGTCAATTACTAAAAAGGTAAACAATCTCTCAGAATTATTATTAAGAAAGTTTTAGCCTCATAGACCCCATTAAAGGGTCTCAGGTACCTAAAACATTCTATAGACCACACTTTGTGAGTCCCTAATGTACTGTAATGCAGTATCAATAAATCATGTATTACATACAAAGCATGTTACCACACTTTATGTTTCCAGAAGTGTTATAATCCTAACATTTTTCTCTAGAAAAGATGTTAAAGGAAAATAAGCTACTAGAATAACAAAAGCAGTAAATACAATCCATAGGAATGGAAAACAGACGAATAAAACATTGCTATAGGTAAATCTCTTATATTTCTGAGGCTATTTCCACAACTCCTAAATAAAGGTAAGACTAGAAGAGTTTTTTTAAAAGTGTCATGTCCTTAAAATGTGTTAAGACTTCCTGCTGCCAAGAATTCTAACAGATATATCTGAACATAGTAGCAGATGTGCTTACTCATAAATACGAGGATGACACTGAAGAGATATAGAACTGATTTTGGGCTTTGGTACAAACGCTTCTAAAAATCTGGATTTACTGTAATACAGTACTTTCACTGTTTTAATTTTCATGACTAAAAACTGTATTTTTAAAGTATTTTTTTGACTACTAAATGGATTCTCTGAGTATAATCTACAAATAACCGTCCATTTTGAGATGTGTACATGCTGTCAAATATGTTTTAGTGTTCAAGGACAAAACGTAATAAAAATGTCTGATTCGATGGAAAGAAAAAATTATTGTAATTATTCAAGGATTATATTTTAATTAGTTAATTAAATTCAAATTCAAATTTACAAATATATTCAATATTTTTTAAATTATACCTTGAAACAGTCATTTTTTAAATTGATTATTCAAAGCTGGAAAAAAATACACAAAGCAGGAGGGCTAGCTAAGACGAGGTACCTGCTAGCATTACTTGTGGAAGTATACGCATTACTGGAGGTGGCTGCAGAACTGAAAACGCTGTCTAGTTCTGCCAGAGCTGCATACTTGTCTGAAGATGCACTTGACTGACTGGGAACTGAAACCACAGAACCAACAGGAGCTTTACCTGTGGTCCCAAAGCCACTTCCCTGATCACCACCTGGGAATGAACAAAATCAAGTTACACCAAAACTTTAAAAGTTATGCTTTCAACTTATCAACCACATTTGCCATGAAACATGTGTAAACTTAAAATGGAATCAGAGCTAAGCAGGACTCCAAAGCCTTAATCTAATAAATAACCTGACCATACTGGACAGGATTAGTCGCTACACATAACACTGTGGTAAAGACAGAATATGTTTCTTAACAAAAATTAAGACTACACCAAAAAAAAAAAAAAAAAAAAAAAGTCTAGATTATGCCTAAGAAAGAACTCAAGTGCTACTACATTAACTTCTCCAAGATGGGTGGATCTTGTTCAAGTGAACATATAAATTCATATAACGCTAGACCTAATGTGAACAACCTATCAATAACATCACTTCCCCAGCATTCTCCATGAAAAAAATTAGTCGCTAATAATGGGAAACACTTTCTGAGCACTTACTATGTGCCGGGCACTATTTTAAATGATTTACATGCAGTAATTATAGAACACAACTCCATGAGTTCAATGCTTATAATTACCCTCATTTTGGAGAAGAGAAAAACAGGCCCAGATATCAGAAAGGTGAATTCCATTTAGCAACACACCCCTGCTATTCACCACTGCCATATGCATTTTTAGAGGCTACTAGGTAAGATAAAACTGGATATAAGAATATACTATAAAATTCATTAATTTTTTTAAAAAGAAAAAAACCCACCAAGATGTTAACAGAAAATCGTTCAAAGTAAATATACTATAGAAACCACCAAATAACCCCCCATTCAGCTCTGCCAATGGAGTTCCTTGGCTCTTTATAGCCAAAGAAAAGTAAAGCTGCCTTTTACGACAAAATAAAATTTTTCTCAACTATTAAAACTGAAAGTTTACAAATCAGCTTCTCTGTCTTCAGTTTTATGGTTGATCTTTCAGGTCCAAAATGTGCCAAGTGAAGTTTTTTTTTTTTTTTTTTTTTTTGAGACAGACTCTCACCTTGTCACCCAAGCTGGAATGCAGTGGTGTGATCTCGGCTCACTGCAACTTCCCTGTCCTGGGTTCAAACGATTCTCCTGCCTCAGCCTCCTGAGTAGCTGGGATTATAGGCGCCTGCCACCATGCCCAGCTAATTTTTGTATTTTTTAGTGTTGGGCAAGTTGGCCAGGCTGGCCAGGCGCAGAGGTTCACACCTCTAATCCCAGCACTTTGGGAGGCTGAAGTGGATGGATCATGAGGCCAAGTGAACATTTTACTTAAAATGACAGTGTAGCCAAAACTTCTATACAACAACTGAGAAAAGTATAACATGTCCAGATTTTAATAAATACAACCAAATTAAGAGCACTGTTTAACACAAATTTGTATTTGTTTTCTTTAAAGCTTGATACCTTGCCCGGCACTGAAGATATTGTCTAAATTAGCAAGTGCTGCATATTTGTCTGCTGTCTGTAAACCAGCTTTGTTCGTAGAAACTTTACTAACAGCTGATGCTGTTTGATGACTCTGGGAAGTATTGAAGGTTCCAAAATCAGCACTGGAGGATTTGGGGAAGTTATCAAAATGAGCAAAATTAGCATTTACTGATGTAGCACTTCCACCTGTAACAGAATAAACAGAGCACTTGAAATTTCTAAGCTTTTCCTAATATTCTCTCGTAGACTGTATGATCATTTCTTCCTAAATTAAATGTCCTATAAGCAATCCCACAACCTTAAAATCAATGACTGGCAAAGGCTTTTGACTACAAGTGACATTTTATAATTTGTAAAAGATTTCTCAAAGGCCTTGGCAACATGTAAAATAACATGTTTCTGTTTATTACCTACCATGCAATGAAAAATGTAATTCATGGGGAGGTAACTCTATGCTACCTGGTTTAAGATTCAGTTACTTTCTAGTCCAAATATGCTATAGCCTTTTACTAGCTCTCCCTAAACAGACTGCAAACAAGATGCAAAGTATCTTACTTGAAGAATTTCAAATTTTTGTGACTCCATGGTGACATAGTTTAAAAAAATACCAGGGATAGCGATTAACAACATGTAAAAATGTGTTACAGTGATCTAGAATTTTTTAAAAGATGGTCATTGACATTTACACTTTCTTCACTTGAAGAGTTACATTTAATTCCACATAATAATTTAATGTGTCTACAATATCATGATGTTCACTGTAAAATCATGCCCTACCATACAGGTCAAGGCATTAAAATTATAGTACATAATACATTATAGCAATTTTTGACTTTATAAACCACAGTTCATCTAATGGCCACTATTGTGTATATCCCGTTAAATCTTTAAAGTCTGTTCTCTATTATAGAGACCTCCTTAAAGTACTATCAAAAGACTAAAACCAGTAGATTTCATTCTATGCTTTTGATCCTACACCTTTGGGATATTAGTTCTTTATTTCTAATCTTTGGTTTCAGCAATCAAAATAGTACATATGCACAATTATACCTTAAAGTAATAAATTTAAAACAGAATGCATGAACCTCTATTAAAAAATATGAACATTTTCTATCAAACAGGTTTATATACATTCTAAAACAAATATATAATGATAAAATTTCTTTCAGGAGTTAAGTTTCAATTAAAGCTAAGTAATATATGTTGGTATGTAAAAGACTGTGACCTGTTACAAGGAGCTGGCAAACAAAGTACATACTCAACTTTCAAAATTCGTATAAAGAATATTATTTCAAACTATTAATGATTAAACCAAGTAACTCTTTGTCTACTACTGTGTTCTCTAACTCTGAGTTTAATAAATAGAGTTGGAAGATATCTTTACGAAGGATTATTACTAAAGATGAACAATCTACAATTGGAAAAACCCTTGAAGTATAGCAAAAATATACAAATTAGTATAAGATGCCTACTTGACAACAGAACTTACTGTGGGTAGCCTGAAGAGGAAAAGCTGAAGTAAATTCACCAAAACTGCAGCTAGATGAAAGCATTCTAAATGCTGGACAGCCAGAAATTATGTAAATGATGAAAGTTAAAGAAAAAAAAAAAAAGAAAATTGAAAGAAAAGGCTTTAAGACAATACACAGAGTTAAAAGTTGAAAGAAAAGTAATCAGCCAAAGATCTAAATAAGGGTTCAATGAATTTCCAAAAACAGCACAATTTATAGAAAGAGTATTCAATGTTTAAAGACCAATTCCTGCACAGAAAACTATTTCCAAGTTTGACTTAAGTGATCATTAATCTACTCTTGTCTAATAAGCATTTAAAAATTTTTCTCAAGCTTGTTGCCCTGAAAATTACTTACATTTTTTGCTCTATGGAAGCAATTAGCTTCCTTTATTCAGAGGTATAATGTCAGCCTAAATCAATGGATTCTATGAACCTTAAAAAACTTACAGCATTGGCTGAGCACAGTGGCTCACACCTGTAATCCCAGCACTCTGAGAGGCCAAGGCAGGAGGACAGCTTGATGCCAGAAGTTCAAGACCAGCTTGAGCAACACCGTGAGACCCAGTCACCACCAAAAGAAATAAAATTATCTGGGAGTGGTGGCATGTGTCTGTATTCCATGCTAAGGCAGGAGGACCACCAAAAAAAAAAAAAAAAAAAAAAAAAGAAAGAAAGAGAGAGAGAGAAATACTCTGTCCTCTATGCATGGTAGACATAAGGAAGATTCATGTGCAGGAAAAGAAGGAGAATGGATGTTGTCAAATAGACAATGACAATACACCAATTAATGCAGAAAAACAAATGAACATAGAAAAAAATAAAGAGTTCAGGTTTCCCCAGAGCTTTTTAAGATAGAACCATTTTAAAGTCAGATAATTACACATATTTAAGTTTAGACTGATTTTTCAAAACTATACTTAGAGAGTTTTGTTTTGTATAGTAAACATTTAAGCACAATGCTGGAGAAGCTCTACCTGTAGTTTGGGGCTGAAAAGGAGAGTGACTTGCTGTGGGGAAACCTCCAAAATTACTCGAACCACTAGACTGTCCAAATGCATCAAAGTTTGCAAAATCTGCATTTGCAGAATTCTGAGCTGTAAATGGTAAGGAACAACATATGTTAATGAATATGAAAACTATAAATGAAAATACGTGACAAATGAGCTTAAGAATTGTATGATAAGTTCTATATATCAAAACTCACTTAATAGAGAATTTGCTTAGAAATCAGATTTTAAATCCTACCAGCATTTAACCCAATTACAAGTAATTTACTAAGGAGTAACCAGGGATTTCCAAAAACACTTTGTGCAATGACAAATTTGGACACAATACTCTGTATATGACAGAAAAGTGACTCTATTAACAAAGAAAACTATTTCAGAGTACTGAGTTACAGTAAAGCAGACAAAGATGTAGAAAATATTCTGGAAAATTCACTGAGTACAAATGGTAATCAACTATGCGAATCTGAATAATAACTGAAATATTTAAAATGATACAAAGATGGTTTAATTAATAAATAAAACTTTTTAAGTTTATAAATGTGTCACCATGGTCATATACAAAAATTTAAAAAAGGACAGGATCACCAAATAAGTTAAAGATATTCACATTCTATTAGAAGCCTGCAATTTTAAACTTATTAAAATTTAAGAAACAATGTACTAGTATAGAAATTACAGCATATAATTCAGAGCCCCAAACATTAATTGAATACCTATTAAATATGGTAAAACAGGACTTTGTAGTACTTGTATCCATTTTTACTTCTAGGTACTGATCTATTCACTATCTTCAACACTCGATTATAAATGTTGCAGAATGAAATTTTGAAAAACACAACTTTGGAAATTAAACACTAATAAATTCAGTATTAGAAAAATTACTATCTGGACACTCAAGCATTCTATGCATAAAGAAATCCAAGCTAAGGAGAATGTAACACAATGGTAAAACTGACTCTCAATTAATCGTATTTCAAAAAGTACAAAGGAGTCAACTTAGTACGAAACTTAAGATCCCAAATTAATGAGCCTGAGTCTTGCTAATAGCTGTCATTCCTCCTCAATGAGAAACAGATATTCATGAGACCGGAAGACAAAGAGAGAGATCATAGGATGCAAACTAGCAGCGCTCAGCAAATTTATCTGACAGATACGCTTTGTTACATCTATACAGTATTTTACATTGTTTCCCATCAATTCCCAACATTTAAAGAGGGCATTTCACAATAAACAAAAAGACTTCCAGCTTCTCTTATTAAAAAAAAAAAAATCAATATATCTCATAATCCTAAATCCCTATATCCATGTGGTAACAGATTAGATCATCTCCTTTAAAAAGGGCACCACTGTTCCTTAAATAGAGCATTATACTACTCATTTGTGTTACCTGAGTTGCAAGGCAGTTGGGTTTAGATCCTACAGTACAGAGTGTGACAAAAATCAATTACAGTTTACAGTGCACAGGTTTTGTGATGATTGATGTTTATCATCAGGCAAAATAACTACTAAATTCAGCAGGTGAATTTTATTTCTAGTTTCATTCATATTTCTGTAAAGGATGACTTTTCTGAACCCCACACAGCAACATACATCCATAAATACTATACCGCAGCCTGAATGCTCACATAAAGAGTAAAGCCTTCTGGCTTTTAAGTCACTAAACTTTCTACAAAAGAACAAGTTTTCCTACAAAACAGTGCTAACCAACCAGACTGGCATATTTGAATAATTGTCATTTGCCATTAAAGGTTCTGTCAGTCATAGCAAACTGTTCAGGATAACATTCTCATTTAGTATTTTTGAAAAATTAACAAGAATATCAGGATGAGAACTTGGCAATCAATAACTTTATTTGTGAACCTTATATGAAAAAATAAAGATTCTGAATGCTTGGAAAGGCTCTGGAAAAAATCATTTCAGTTAAACCATGACCTAGTTTTTATACCTAGAGACTACTCCAAGGCAAAATGTCAAAAGATGGTATCAACTGTATAGAAGGAAAAATAAATGAGTAATTCAGTAGTTTCTTCTTGTAATAGGCATATACATTTTATTCACCTGTAATCAAACCAAAACTCAAATAACGAAAAAAAAAAATAATTTGAGCAGTCATTTTTAAGTAAGAACTTTAGACTAAAAAAACAACTCCTCTTATGCAACCTGACTTACAGCTAGCCTACGTGTCTATTACCTTCTTTCTTCACAAAACAGTTAATTTAAGATCAACCACTTTCTATCAATCTGATCAAAATAGAAGTATCTTTTCCTTTACTGCATATTCTACAATTAAATGATGGTGATTGTTTTCAAAGTGCATTTTAAGGGAGTTGTTGAAAGTAATAGTGCAACCATGGTACAAGTTAGTCTGAAGAGTTGCAGTGATTTATCTAACCATTTTTGGCTAACAGAGCTACAAAGAAAAATTCAACATTACCTGTCAAAGTCACAAATTGCATTTAAAGAGAGAAACAATGGGAACAAGAAATAAGTTGCAAATTTACAAAAGAATTTGGTACTTAGTAATTTTACATTATATTTCAATAATCCTAAAACAAAGATTAAACCAGAAGATATTCATAAATTATACAAGGTTTACTCCTTGTTGGTTTTCCCCCCAACTCTTTTTACCAGCATTCAAAAGCAAGAGGTGGGAAAAGAGAGTTGGGGTTCTTATCTGGTCAGAAGGGAAATGGATTTCTGAAAGAGGTTCTCCAGGTTTTCTGGGATTTTGCAGCTCAGTTAATACAGAAGAAGGAAAATCTACCACAACCTCAACAACTTAAGCAAAAGAAAATCACAATTTCTTATCCTCCTCAGTATAACTTTTCCTGAAAAAAGAAATCCATGTCATCCTAAGACTCCTTTTTAAAGCAAATACACACGAGACATAAAAAATTATACCACAATTTCCTTCTAAACCATGTCCTTAGAAAATGTTTTTATTAATATTTAAAACGAAAGGTTCCCTTATTGCTTGCTAGAAAGAAATGTGGCTGGAGAGAAGTTTTTCTACAATTTTTCAAACTATACCAAGCAGAACATTTTGGGTATGATTACATATAATATGCTTTATGTCATCATTATCCGAAAAGTCAGGTCATCAAATTGAAAAAGAAAAATCATCACAATCTCACAGGTAAGTAAAATAAGGCAAAATAAGTTCTAAAATACAAATAGAAAAACAGTTCTCTCAGCAATGGTTTCTGCTATGCTCATAAAATTGTGAAATACATCTTTTAGAAAAATAGTCTTGAATTTTTCTTGTCCATAATTGAACTTATAGAAAATAATATAAAGCAAAGTTTCAAATTATCAAAATAAAACTACAAAATGACTAAATTCCTAAATTAATGTTCTACATTTGGTTTGATACTTATGTAATCACTCAAAATGCAAACGGGTAAACTTTCCATGATATCAACAACACAGCTTACTGGCATCCAAAATAGATTCCATACACATTTCCAACACAAATACTATGTATGCTTTTACACTGTTAAAGCATAAAGCAGCAACTATAAAGAGTTAAGAAACTACCAAGCTGTTGGGAAATGAATCTAAACCATTTGGGGAATCTTAACTAAGATCAAAAGATTAAAACAGCATAAAAACTTGCTATAAACTATGATCGTTTTTCTTAAATGCACGATAGGTAAACATACATAAGTGTATATGTGTCTACATATGTACATATATATGTAAAAGGTGTGTAAAAAAGAGAATATTTATTGTACCTTTTAGATGCTAACCAGTTAAATGCATCATCTCATTTGAACCTTGCCACTTAACAAAGACAATTTATAGAATAAAAAATTTAGAAATGTTAGGTGATTTGCCCAAAGTTACATAGATAATAAGCAAGAAAGCCAGCATTTGAACCCAGGTTGTCCCAACTCCAAAGCCCAGGTTCTTTTTAATACATTATGCCACTTCCCTATCAGACTATTGCTACCACAATTAAGGAGAGACACAAGTGACCGAATCTACACTTCAATAATCAATTTTTAAATAATACCTAGGTACCTCTGTGAGGTTTGCATATTTGTTAACAAAATAAAACTCCATAAATCCCAATTTCTGGTAACGTGCATTAAACTGTTTGTAACAAATATGTTAAATCTCAGAATATGGAGGGAAGAAAAGGCCACTCAAAGACCACAAGTGTTCTATCAAAAAAGTATCTTTAGGGCTGGGCACGGTGGCTCACGTCTGTAATCCCAGCACTTTAGGAGGCCGAGGCAAGCGGATCACCTGAGGTCAGGGGTTCAAGACTAGCCTGGTCAACATGGTGAAACCCCCTCTCTCTACTAAAAACACAAAAATCATCCAGGCGTGGTGGCAGGCACGTGTGGTCCCACTTACTCAGGAGGCTGAGGCAGGAGAATTGCCTGAACCCAGGAAGCAGAGGTTGCAGTGAGCCAAGATCACGCTAGTGCACTCCAGTGTGGGCGAGAGTGTGAGACTCCATCTTAGAGAAAAAAAAAAAAAAAAGCACTTTGGGAGGCTGAGGTGGGAGGATCACTTAAGGTCAGGAGTTCCAAACCAGCCTGGCCAACATGGTGAAGCCCCATCTCTACTAAAAGTACAAAACTGGTGGGTGCTATGGTGCATGTTTGTAATCCCAGATACTTGGGAGGCTGAGGTGGGAGAATCCTTTGAACCCAGGAGACAAAGGTTGCAGTGAGATCTCACCACTGCACTCCAGCCTGGGCGAGAGAGCGAGGTTATATACATTGTACCCTTTCCCCATTTTTCCACGAAAACAGGTCATGCCAACAACTGACAGAAACATTCTCAACAAAAAATGTTTACTGATATTCAAAGTGTGATAAAGAAGTAATGTTTCTTGGTGCTTTATATACATTCCCCAGCAAAAGTTGTTGAGAAAAAACACTTACCTGCATGACTGTTGAAATGTGCAAAGTTAGCAAAATTGGCTGTAGCTGTTGACTGAGGAGCTGGAGCAGCAAAGATGTCTGAGCCAAGATCACTTAACAGGTCAAACTGCTTCTTCTCCTGCTGCTGCCCTTGAGAACGACCTACAACTGGGGACTATAAACCACATATTAACTATAAAGATATTCCAGTCAGATCTGCAAAATCTTTATACAAAACTATCTCTAAACTTAAAACACACTTATACATAAGAAGTTACAGTATACTGAGTTAACCTTTTTCATTTTTCATTCAAACCTTTTGTGAAAACAGAGAAATTTATCCAAATGTTCTAGTATGTGTTATCAAAAAGGATTCAATCTGTATTATTATGCTTCTGAACCATTCTTGTATAGGATAGAGGCTGCAATACTATACAGGAACAGATGTGTCACAGCCCCACACAACTATAATAAAGTACAAACTTTAGGCGGCAACTTATGAAAAGATTCCATTTTGTTCATTTCTAAGAATAAGGTATAATGCAAAGCCCCCTGTATTTTAATGATCAAAATGCTTCACAATCACACGTGGGAAAACTGCACTCCTAAAGAAATCCCTTTCTAGAAAAGTGTATCGCAGAGACTTTATGTTTTAACTCTGATAGTCACCACAGATTCATGTTTTACTAGCTGCATAATAAATGATACACACACACACACACACACACACACACACACACACACACACACACA